AGCCGAGCGAGCAGGCGGGGAGCAGGAGCCACCGTGGCGGGAAGAGGCCCCTGGTTTCCACCGAGCTCCCGCGAGGAAAGTTGCCGGCGGGGTTGCGCCGGTGCAAAAGTCGGTTCTTCCCAAGAAGGGCAGAGAGAGAGAGGCTCCATCCTGACCCGGTCCTGCGAAGTAAAAAGTTCTCAGGCGGCCCCAGAGAGACGATTCCGGGTGTCGCACTTCCCAGTCCTTTGTTGGCTCTCGCGTGCGTGGGTGTCCAGCCGCCTCTTCCGGAGAGCGAAGGCTCTGGGCCTTCCCCCCTCCCCCCCTTCCATGGCCCAATTCATCAACTCGCAGAAGAGAACGAACCCTAATTTGTGTTGGAAATATGTGAACCAATGTTTGCCACGGGACGCTCGTAAAAATGTCAGGGGGAGAAATATCGACGTGGTTTTCCTTCCCCGGCTCGAGTTCAGTAGGGCCCTTATATGGATACAGAGCTTCCCCGCCCCCCCGCCCTTCCTCACCTCCGGCCTCTTCCTGGACGTCCGCGAGTGGCACAGCCTCTGCCTGCTCCCGAGGCCCCGGAGGAGCCGAGTCTCCGGGCCCAGAGACCAGCCTTCCTTGGCAAAGCCTCCAGAAGAAGGGGGAGCCGGAGGAGAACCCGGGTGCCTGCCTGCCTACGGACGACCCTTTGAGCCCCGTGGCCTCTGGTCCCTTTGACTTCAGATGCGTGGAAACTTCCTCCTTCTGACGTGAGGATGCGGATGCACGGGGCTCACTGTTGGTGAGAAAGGGTGCACATCCTAGATCAGGTCTTCCCAATGGAGCCCACCCGCCTCCCTTTCCCCCATTTGTCGGCACAAAGTTTACTCACTGAAACAAAGGTCACCCCAGTTGTTTAATTCATTTTTTTTTTTAAAAGTTTCTCAAATACCCTAATTCTAAACCTCCAAGCCATCTAACACATTTGTAAGGCGGCGTGTTAAAGGTCGCAATTTCCCCACCTGCTTTTTGACCCTTGTTCACGTTTGACCTTTCCCGCAGAAAGATATTAAACACCGGGGCGGGGCGCGGGGGGGGGGGGGACGGACTCAAGGCCACTACATGATATCCTTGGCTACATTTGCCCTAACTTGGATTGGAAGCCTCCGCTGGACAAAGACATCCAGGACCTTCCCCTCGACCGTGCGGAGCCCCCCATGTGCTTTGAGCTGCCAGGTCCAAAATGTTGACTTCGGGACTCCGTTCCATTGGCTAGACCTGTGCGTTTTCGGGGTTACAGTGACAACAAATAAATAAAATGACAACGTTTTGGAACAGACCTGAAGGAATAAAGGGACACTTCTTTTTGGAAACAGCAGAAGCGCATGATCGGCCTATTGGTGAGGCGCTTCATTCTCAAGGCACTGCTAGTCCCAATGGGGAGAACCGGCGGGGGTTACGAGCTTCGCATATTTTATTGCCACCCGCGGTCTTTCGTCCAAATATTCTGGGAGGTTTACGGTCCTTACCAGTGCTCCTTCCAAGCTGAGTTAGTGTGAGCTAGCTCGCAGTTTTTTAGCCTCTGGCTCACACATTTATGTCTTAGCTCAGGAAGGGATGGCTCCAGAGCAAACTCATTTATGCACTAGCCAAATCGCTTGTTTACAGTTTTTAATGTCAGTAACTCACAAAGTAGAATTTTTGCTCATAAGACTCCAAAGCTGAGAGGGAGCATTGGTCCTTACCTATTCAGATCACTTAATTCGGTTTGCCTGCTTCTCAGAACTCTGGGTCAACTCCTCACTCATCCGAGCAAGGGTGAGTGTAGCCAAAGGATGGGCCGAAGTGCTCATCCCTTGTGTCTCTCCCCCCCCCCCCCCCTTGCTTTCTTTGTATTTGTCAGCCAAACCTCCTTTGCTCAGTGATGTCGCTTCCTAGCCAACACCTGTATCCTTACAGCACAAGCCTCTATCACTCCCCTAGGGAATGAATCCCACTCGGCGTGCTGAGGGGCTTTGCTCCCAAGTCAGGGGCGCCGGGGATGGCAGCCCTGCTCTTTCTGTCTGCTTTCCATACGGAGGGACGGAGAGGATGCCGTGCACTCTCTCCAGGCCTCCCACCTCTCAGGGCTGTTGTGCGCGCCTTGGATGAGAGGGAGAACCGAGATGTGGGCGGCGGTGTCAGCGGTCGGGAGGCAGGAGACCATTTCGACCGGTTCGAAATCCCGGACGGTTGGGAAGAGGCACCCTCGCATCCCAGTCCCCTTGAGGGTTTGAATGGGGACCCTCGATCACTAGGGAATATTCTTTCCGGGCCTCTGGTTGGCGTGTGCGGAGAGGCGAGAGGCGCGGGTTCCGACGGAAGGGCGCCCCGGCCTCCCTCCCTCCCTCCCTCCCTCCCTCCCTCCCT